TATATATATACATACATACATACATACATACATACATACATACATACATACATACATATATCAATTTCTCATGTGCTTTTTGGCCTTATGATTAAAGCCCGCGTCATGTGCCTAAAATTTTATGTATTGCACGCCAATCATACTCAGGAATATTATGAGCTAAATTGTTGTCATGCATATATAACATACATTGAAAAAAATAAAACGGCTCTGCATTCAATTGGAGTAATGCAATGTTAAATACATAACTACCTTGAAAAATGAATGTATAAAAAAATTGTGGCAATAATTCAATGTAAAGCCAACAATTACATTGTACCTGAATGATAGTGTGAAATACAATAAATAAATAAGGACATTTCTTATACATTCATAAATGGTAAAGCACTCTGAGAAGTATATAAAGAGTATGCCACTAATGAGCAAGGGTATGTACTTTTATGTCTTGCTTAATATGAAGTCACCTACTAACAAAAATCACAACCAGCTAACAATTTCAACATGACGATCAAGACATCGATCTTCATTGTTGTGATTGTTGAATCCAGGAGTGTCTAGAAAATACAGCCAAGGAATAAAGCGTATCAAGAAGAAGAAAAAACAATAGAGAATAGTAAAGAGAACATAACATTTTCATTATGAGGACCTCCTATTTATAACTATAGGGTCATGGTCCTGTAAAATTACAAATATGCACCCAAATTGAACGGCTCAGAAAGAAGGGGAGGCCGATTGAGTAACCGATCGTCAGTTATACCAACGACGAACATATGTCAGACAACCGACGGATACTTCAAACAACCGCCACCGAGCTCTTCGATTCCCCGAAATAGGACGTTTGTCTTCGAACACATCAAAGGACACTGTCCCTCAGACTGAGTATCGGCTTTATCTGAACCGATTGTCAAATATCTCTACCATGGATCAATATGACAAAGGGAACGCGTAGCTATCGACCAACAAGATTTCTACCGGCTTGTCTTGTTTTTTGTAATTTATTAAAGAGTCCCCTCAAAAACTAATGATGAGAGGGTATATTTATAATTTTACAGAACCATGATCATATAGTTATAAATAAGGGGTCCTAATGATAAAAATGTTATGCACTCTTTACTATTTTCTGTTGTTTCTTCTCCTTCTTGGTACACTGTTCCTTGGGCATGTTTCATGGACACTTCTGAATTCAAAATCATTTTAGGAGCGGTGAGCGTGAAACCATGCCGTCACAAAGAAGAGGAGCACAACAACATCAACAACAAGAAGAAACCAGCCAAAGGAACATAGCAGAAGCAGTTTGTATAGAGAGTTTATGGGAGAATTTGCTTAGCAAGGATTGTAGGACCTAGAGTTCAGATCACTAACCAGATGTCGGGATAGTTCGCGAAAGTTCTAAGGACAGTTGCAGCCCTAAGAGCAGCCACAACCCTGGAACTAGAGCAGGCTCAACATGAAGTGAACAACCACTCCAAGGGGAATGACAAACAAGTGACAGAAGGAAAACAAATGATCTAAAGGAAAGAATCGAAGATGTGATGTACCAGAACAATGCTGAATTCCCCTCTATTGAGGAAATACACCGAGTTGTGCGAACTGAAGCATTGCAACAGCGGGAGAAAGCTTTTTTTTCTGTAACTCTCAGGAGTAGAACCCTTAGAGAAATTTAAACTGCATACGCTGGAGTCATATAAGAGACAACCAGGCCCCAACAATCACCTCACTTCTTTCAAAACTTTCATGTGATTGCTGAAGATTTCAGACGCATTTAAGTGCAAACTGTTCTTTACAAAATTGAGATCATTTGCTCTCAGATGGTTCAACGAATTGCCCATAGGGGTAATCACCTACTTCAAGGAGTTCTGAAGGTTTTTTCTGTCACAGTTTTCCAGCAAACTAAGACCCAAGAAGAGTTCTCGATTCTCATGGCAACAAAAGAAAGGAGCCAATGAAAGTTTACAATCATTTCTTTCATTTCCATAAAGAAACATTGGATGTGAAGGGCTTGAAGTCTGTCATGGCCCAAGCCAAGCTAACACAAGGGTAAGGTCAGAGAGAGTCCATTTTGACCTTGACCTTGCAAAACCACAAAGCTTGCTCGTGCTATTAGAGATGTTCAATAAATATATTAGCGCCTATGAAAATGCCACCGAGCTCGCCGAACAAAGACGCCAGAAGAGGCCATCACAGAAGAGCACGTGGCAACCTTGATAAAAAGTGCAACTGATTGTTCGCTCACTACGAAAAGCATCCCAGTAGAAAATCGACCCATCATTTAGAGGATTAAAGGAGACATATGAAGACCCACAACTAGCTATCAACATAGTATCAAGAACAACCTCATTGACCACAGGATACCCGGGGCCGCCCCTCTGAGGGTGTCCACGATTGGAATAGTGAATGTCATTCAAGACTAGGAGTTTTTCAAGAAAACACCACTAATGAGAAATGGAGTCTTTCTCTGAGAGAGCAGGAAATATTGCAAGTACCACAAGGAACACAGACACAACACAGAGGAGTGCAGGCATCTCCAGAGCTTGATTGAAGAACTAATAAATGAGGGAAAGCTGAAGAAATTTTCGCCTCTGGAGCCACGAGCATGTTGACAGACTAATTCGTACCAATGACATCCACATCACAGGATTTGTGCCTGCCATATTTGGAAGAAAAAAACCACCTAGAAGGAAAGCGGGGAACTCTGTTTTACAACCTTCGCCCCAAAAGCCAAAAATCATTTGCCTATTTACATCACATGTAGGTTACAAGAGGGGTTACAGAGGGTATAACGAGGATATAACCCCCTAATTTCCTCGGAATAACCTCCCAGGCGTCTCAGTTAAATGAGACTTCTCCAGAAACTTGGTATTTACAAATCAACCATTCACTTTCAACCATTTCTCAAATTCTCACTCAAATTTTAAAATTTATTGTAAAACACCAACTCATATTTTTAATTTTTATCAAATTTTCAAAAATTTTATAACGACATGCGTAAATACATCACTTTCATAGTTCAAAAAAAACCATCCGATTGATTAATTTGTAAATATCACTGTTTAGGAAGACCATTATGTAATTATCCCTATATTTTCATTTATGAGAAGGCAATAAAAATCATTTATCTCATAAAACAGAAATGATAATAATAAAATAGTGGGCAGTGCTAGAAACAATGAGGCATGCCGCCGTCAGCCTCCTACAAAAGGCGAGATCGGCGGTGATGAACTATCACCTGCTTTTCTCTTCCCACGCTCCGATCCCTTCTTCCTCTTCCATCCTCTCCTACTCTCTCAACCCTACCGCCGCAATGTCCACAGCCGGTCCGGTCGTCCACTCGTCTGTCGCCGAGCAGAAGCGTGCTCTTCGATCCAGAATCAGGAAAGAACTCCGATCATTTCCCTCCGATCAGCGAAGCTTAGAAGGTCTTCTTTCTAAACATTTTTTCTTTTTTGCTTCCTACGCCTCTTAATTTTTATCCCCCTCTTATTGATTGATGGTGTCTGGAACCAAGTTGATTGGCTAATGTGACTTTAGTATTGAATCCATGAATCTGTTTGCATATTAATTTAATGATTACAATCTGACGAAAGTTTGACATTGGAATGAATTCGAAATATACAATTCTTTCCCGTATAGGTAAAGTGACGTTTTCCTTTTTGTTGCCCATGATTTTTGAAGTTATTTAGTCGAAGGTATTGATTCTTCAACTCTTTGTCGTATGAGCACATAATAGCTTTCCCTTTTAATGAAGTGTTTTTACCCAATAGAAACTATTTAACTGGGAACGAATAATGATGGATTGGTGGGTTGGGAGCCTTGCAGTATCATCATGATCATCGAAGTATTTTAATGCTGTTTTATGCTATTGTTGAAGCACTTAACCTACTGTGGGTATTGAACAACAGCAATGTTTTAGTGTAGTTATTTTAGAAGTTTGGGATGGACCGGTGAATCTATTATTTGGCTTTGATCACTTCTGGAATATGTCTACCTTGTTTAAATGCAATTTAGTTTGAAAGGTTTACATAAATACCACTCAATTCGTATTTATTTACAGATCTAACATCTATTCTTATGCATGAAAAGGTGTGTTTCAGTTCTTAAAAGTTTCAATGGTGATAGTTTTGATGTGATATGAAATATTTGGGTGGTATAAATGTAAAAAGTAAGTTTTAGCTGTTAGGTATGTAAATACATAGAAATTAGGCGGTAAGTATGTAAATGCCCCATTTAGTTTTATTCATGACGCAGTTGCAGTATGATACAAAAGAATTAAGTATGGGGAGAAGTAAAAGAAGTTAGAATTTACATTTTTTTCGGATAGAAGTTTTTATAGGTCCACAAATAACAAGCAATACCTCATATTTAATGAATTTGGTTTGACATGAACTTCAATATGCATTAAAGCAACCACAACTGGCGACAGTTCAAAATCACTTTTATTAATGCATGTAAATATTTAGATTGCCAAATGATAAACGCGAAATGATATACTTGAAACAATTTAATCTTATGTGTCAAAAGCAAGTTAGAGCTTTACAAACTTTTTTTAGTCCATACTAAAAGTTTCATTCTTACATTTATATTTTGATAGGAGTCAAGAAAATATAAAGAATAATATAAAGGGGCATTTACATACATAGCACACAATTCTTATGTATTTGCATAATTCACACCTAAACTTTCATATTTACACACCTAGAACTCAAATTTTTAATATCACATAAATATCAATATTATTATTTTTTAAAAGTGAAATACATCTTTTCATGCATTGTTTAAAGCTTTAAAGTGCTAAGTATGTAAATATGAAAGTTTAGGTGTGAGATATGTAAATACATAAGAGTTATCGGCTACGTATGTAAATTTCCCTAAAAAAGAAAACTATTTTCTCCTTGGATTTTATTAAAAAAGTAATTTAGGGATTGCTAAGCCATAAACAAGGTATAGATAAATAGACAAATAAATGAATATATCGACATGCAAAGCGACAAAGTAATCATAGTGTATTTTTTAACTACTATGAACATAAGTGTTGTAAATGAATCATTGCAATTTTATTGGATGGGTTTTATTTCTTTGTTTTGATAGATGAAATTCAGTTGTAGTGGCACATGCAATGTAAATAAGTTTGTAATATAGTTTTATCCTTCTATTTTTGCTTGTTTATTATTTCCTCATACTGAAACCCAATTAATTGACATTAAGGCAGAAAAGTCATTCATGATGGCATATTAATATTACTAGGGTCATGATCCACCAACTTATTGGTTCTTTCTGCGAGGCACAAACAAAGGATTTTATCCTAGAAGTATAAGTATTGAAAATTTTCTTAACCCTTATTAAAATTTATGCACAATGAACAAGTTCCTTGTCAATATGCTTACCCATAGAATTGCCCTTTTGATATGAAAATGAAGTTGGTCCCATTTCATTCAATTATAAGAATAATTTATCAGTGTGCATGTTTTCAGAGACAAAATGAATGATAATGAAATATCAATTTTGTTACAGCTTCGTTGTTCACTTAAGAAGCCATTGTGTAAGTTCCTTATCAAAGTGTTTTTTTTCCTCCGAGATATTAACAATAGAATTTGTAAAATGACTTCAATGCTTTATGCTATCATCTGAGAAGACTGAAGAAAAAGAACTCTTGTGCTCACTGGGTTTAAAAGGTGAAAATGAAAATTAAGATGTTTTCCCTTAGCAAGACGAGGCATAAGTCTTGAGGTGAATAGATGCTTAAGGTTCAAATTAGAAAATAAAAGTTTGTAAAACTAAAAATAATTTATAAATATGCAATAAATCATTGATAATTTTATTTTGCCTATCATAATATATCACAAAATCACTTAATACAACAACAACAATAATAAAACATTTATCCCACTAAGTGGGGTCGGCTACATGAATCTTTTTTTTCCATTGCGTCCTATTTAGTGTCATATTTTCATTTAATTCTAATAAATTAAGATAATTTTTTATACAATATGCTCAACTCATCCTTGGTTTACCTCTGCCTTTCTTAACATAAGTCGAATCTAAAACATCTACTCTTCTAATCGGATCATCACATGGTCGACGTTTAATGTGACCAAATCATCTAAGACAACTCTCTCTAATTTTGTCCGTCATTGGAGCTACACCAACCCTATCATGAATTTTTTCATTTTGTATTTTGTCTCTAAGTGTAAAACCACCCATCCACCTAATCATTCTCATCTCGTCAACACTTAACTTAGTTTTATGTTTCTCTTTTAAAGGCCAACATTCAACACCATATAGGATTGCAGGTGTTACCACCATCTTATAAAATTTTCCTTTCAGTCTAAGCGGTATTTTTCTATCACACAATAGGCCGAAGTATTCCACTTCAACCAACCAACTTGAATTCTACTAATAGCATCCTCATCAATATCACCATCACTTTGAATAGTAGACCTGAGATATCTAAAGCGTTCACTCCTTTCAATAATTTGATCACCCATAGTTACATTTCTGTCACTAGAGCTATTACTACTTAAATTACATTTCCTGTATTTAGTTTTAGTTCTACTCAAACGAAAGCCTTTAGACTCCAAGGTAGACCTCCATGATTCTAGTTTGTTTTTTGGAGTTTTTTTCTCTCGTCTTATCCACGAGAAAGATATCATCAACAAAAAACATACACCAAGGTACTTCCCCCTGTAAGTGTCTAGTAAGTAGTAAGACCATCCATAACTAAAGCAAAAAGATCTGGGCTTAAAGCCGATCTCTGATGTAAACAAACAAAAATAAGAAAATAATTGGTCAATCCTCCTTCTGGTCGAACACAGGTAACAATTTTTGTATAAATATCTTTAATGACTTAAATATAATTCATATCGACACATTTCTTCTCAAGAACTCTCTAAAGGATATCTCTTGGAACCTTATCGTAAGCTTTTTCTAAATCAATAAAAATCATATGTTGATCCTCCTTATTATCTCTGAACTTCTTTATCAAACCTTATCAAAAAACCTCTCAATAAATGTATAGCTTCCATAGTAGACCTGTCGGGCATAAATCTAGATTGATTATGAGAAATTTTTGTAATACGTTTTAATCTATGTTCAATTATCCTCTCCCATAATTTTAAAGTATAACACATCAACTTAATTCCTCTATAATGTACACACTCTTGTGCATCTCTTTTATTCTTAAAAATGAGGACCAAAACACTCTTTCATCCACTCCTACGGCATCTTTTTTAGTTTTTAAAATAATATTAAAGAGTTTAGTAAGCTAAGAAACTCTCAAATCTGCTAAATATTTTCACACTTCAATCGGGATATCATCAATTCCTACTGAGTTTACACCCTTGGTTTTTCTTAAAGCATCGTCAACTTCTTTTTTACTAATATAATGGTAAAAATTAAATATTTTATTATTATTAACGATATTAAAATCACTACGGTCGATTGTATTTTCTGAAACTTCATTAAAAAGTTTATCAAACTAACTCACCCACCTATTTTTAGTATCTTTTTCTAAGAAAAACATTTTTTGATTTTCATCTTTAATACACTTTACTCAGTTAAATCTTTACTTTTATTTTCTGTTTGTTTGGCTTGTTAATACATATATTTTTTACCCTATTTAGTATCTACTCTATTATAAGGATCACTAAAAGCGAATTTTTAGCGTCACAGATTGGTCTCTTAGACTTCCTATGTGTCGTTTGATAGTTTTCCCATTTTTTTAAGCTTTTACATTTAAACCAATTTTTTTAACATACCTTCTTATATTTTTTTTTCTTGCACATTATTTTTCCATTCCAACTATTTTTATTTATAATTTTTTTAATTTTTCAAGTACAATTTTTGTCACTTGTTTAATAATCTTTGTTACTTTATCCTACATAAAATTAGCTTCTTCATGAACATCCCAAATTTTGAAATCTTGAATTTTACTAATAATAATAATTTTATTTGTCTTTTAGGTAACCCCATTTAATTATACGACGATAATTCCTAGTATTCTTTTATTTTATAACTCTTCATCTTAAAATCTTGAATTAATAATTGATGTTGAGTACTTAAATTCTTACTTTGAATGACCTTACAATCATTACATTCTCGATTATCTCTTATTCTCATAAGAAAATAATCAATTTGTGTTTTATTAGATCCATTTTTATAAGTAATAATATGATTGTCTCTTTTCTTGAATAAAGTATTAGCAATAACAAAATCATACGCTAACGTAAAATCTAATATACCTCTAACTTTTTCATTAACCACTCCAAAACCGTAGCTACCATGAATATTTCTAAAATTTTCTACTACTCTACCGACATGTCCATTTCAATCTCCTCCAATAAAAATTTTTTCTTCAAGAGGCATCATTTGTATTAAGTCTTCTAAGTCATCCATAATTTATCTTTAGAAGCTATATTTAAACCTACTTGAGGAGCATAATCACTTATAATATAAAAAATCTTAGTATCTGCAATAATCTTAAGAGCTATAATTCTATATTTAACTCTATTAATTTTTACAACATTTTCTTTCTTACCCTTATCTATAATTACACCTAGCCCATTTCTAGTGCGACTCTTACCTGAATACTAAAGTTTAAAACTCAACTTATCAATCTCATTAACCTTTTCCCCAACCCATTTTAGTTTTTTGAACGCATAAGATATTTATCTTTTTATGAATCATAATATCAACTAATTCCATTAATTTACTAGTAAGAGTATCTATATTCCAAAATCCTATCCTATTATTAGTTTCATTAACTAACTTCTTTTCCCACATTTGTTCGTAATATGGGAACCCTTGCTTATTTAACTCTACATCTGGACGCCGATGTAGCGGTCCTTGCACATTTTGTGCACACTTTTGCACAAAATCACTTAATAAGAAAAAAAAAACAAATTTCAACCATAAATATTAATCTAAAGTAAAAGTGTGAAATGTTTTATACATGTATTCAAAACATGTTTGAACCTTGTTCAATTCTTGATAGAATTAGGATCAGACATAATTTTAATATAGTTGAACACATTTTCTAACCTTGTTATAAATATGATCAAACATATATTTAGATATACAGATATATGTTAACTTTGATGATTTTGTGCACACCCAATGTGGAATGAGACATGATTCCCAAACATCATGCCCATGAACATGTGAACTAAAAAATTGGAGTGCAAGAATTCTCTCAGAACTCCAGATATGGAAAAGTGTGTAAATGATGTTTAGATCATGAAGTTTTCTTTATGCTAATTATTTGATTATCGTCACATATCCTCTAAATTCTTAACCTTGCTAGAAGGTTGCTATTGGTTGTAATTCTTGTTTGAGAGATTGCACTTATTATTGTAAATATGTGTTTTTTGTCAAAATGAATTGTTGCAAAGCTTTAGGGGCTGTTTGGTTTGTTGAAAATGGAATGCAATGTAAAAGGTTTGTATAGTACTATGATTATAATGTATTTGAAATACTTTCGAGTTATTTAATTCACTGTAAAATAAATGTAGGAATTTATATATTTTTTTAGTTAGAAATGGATTGAAAACAATGTATTTCAAAAGATATTTTTTTATTTGTTGGGTGGGGTGGCACTGTTAGGCGACATGACGGATGGTTGGCGGCTAAGGTGGCGACAATGGCTTCTACAAACTGCGGCAGCAGGCAGCAGACAGCAGGTCGAGGGCGGCAGGCCGGTGTAGAGGCAGGTGG